ATTGATAAAAAATTAGATTAATAATAGCTTGAATTCATTCTTATTTAATTTTCCGAACATGTTTACAAAATCTTAGTATTTTATTGGTATTTTTATTCTTGTGTGATATTGAGTTTTTATAAGTTAAAATCAGTGCCATGGAATCAATGTTATTTTTGCACCACTACCACCCTCCTTTTATTGACGTGTGCATTGCAATCTATTAATTTATTTTCGTCGCGACGTGTGTTCATTAATTATAATTTTAATAAAATGTAATCAAAGAAATAAAATATGACTTTTAAAAATATGAGTGGATAATTCTTATTATTTTTTTAAAAAAAAAAACCTTATACATTTTTTTTTTGTGCATAGCTTAAGATTTTTAATACATATAAATACGTATTTTAAATTTTTTAGTGTATATTTAAATGCATATTTTATCAAATGTTAGTACATTATTGCATGCCTATTTATGCGTTTTATAGTGCATAAACTTACGAGCTCTGTTTATAATCAAATAGTAATATTATGAGTATACCAAATGTTGAGTGGAATATTTTCTCGGTCAGTGAAAGAATAATTACTTCAAAGAAAAAAGCCTCAAAAAGTTTTGTATTACAAAAAGCATAAAGAATCTTCCGTTGAAGTTCGATAAGTCAAGTGTATATATATATATATATATATATATATATATACATATGAATCAATCTTTATATATATAAAAGTTATGACTAGCCAAATGATATTATTTAAAAACTATATTTTACAATATATGGTTAGATATTTGATTTTGTAGCACTTTAAAATACAAATAAAGTTTTCTATGTACTAATTTATGTTTATGATGTGGATTTAGTTTTTGAGTTTTGTTTTGTCTAAGTAGTATAAAATTACTTTTGTATTATTATAAAATATATTCGTTTACGACATTCGACAACTTTTGGTTTTCTCATTTTATAGTTTATTGTTTTGCTGAAACGACTATTTTATGGTCAAAGTTTGAAGTACGGACAAGTCGTGATACACCGTGTAAATCACAAAGTGCTCGTGGCACATGATAATATTTTCCCATCAATAATTGAACCATTTCAGCAATTCAAATACACATTTGTCACTTTTAGTAAAATAAAATGTATATTATAAAATATAGCATAAATTTCATAAAACGAATCAAGTTTGAATTGTTTGTTGTTTTCATAGTTCATTACTATTAATCTTAGGACTGTTATGAATATTTTTTCTGAATTCTCAAAACATTGATTTTAATATAATATAATTTTATTGAATTAATAATTAAAATCGATACAATTAAGTAATAGTTATGGTTTTTTTCCTCCAAAAATTCTAGGCTATCATACTTTTAAAGACACGATTAAAATATTCAATGTTTGGTTATAGAGCCTAATTAAGCGCTGTAGTTATATTTAAGATTGTGACGATATTTGTAAACATTTTTAACTCTTTTTTTTCAGAGAAATTAATTCATTAACGTATATAATATATTTTATCTTCAAATTAATTTAAATTAGGCTTTTGTTAATTATTAGGGTTAGTTCTTTTTATCGTTAATAAGACGTAATATGTACGACTCTAAAAGACACTTAAAAATATAAAGTATTTCTTTACATATCCCTCAGTGGTTCCAAATCATATTTCAGTATGGTGTGATCTAGAAAATTTGTTATCTAATTTCATTACAAACAATTATTAAAATTTTCATAAATTGTTTTTTTCTAATACACAAGTACAAAGAAAATATACAGTATATCTTTGATTCGATTTCCATTTTATTAGCATTAATTCAGTTAAAAACGATGATTGGATAGTAAATAAATCTATGATACTGTGAAAAAAATATTGACACAAACACAAATAAGACAAAAAGAAATATAAAATAAAACTTCCCCAAACCACGGATAGAAGTTCATCTCTTTTTAATAAAAACAAAAAATAAAAATAAAGTTTTTCCACAAACATTCCACGAGCCACTGCCGATGAAATATACGGATACATGTTCTGACAGATCGATTTAGCTACCTATACGCACATTGCCATTGCGTCCTTTAAGAATAATTTATACAAAAAAAAAAAATAATCAATAACCGCAATATAGGTGATGATTTAATTCATGACCGGAAATCTTCATCGTATGCAAACATATTGCGTAACATTTTTAAAATAGGCTAGAATAAGCAAATTCGATCGGTATAAAACAGGGATGGAAAACGTTTTTGATTATTACGTTTTTAAAAATGTTATTTTTCTAAATTGTTTCCAAATAACGTTTTTGAAATTTTTGTTTTTTTTTTTTATATATCCTTATTTCTTACACCTAACTTATAATAGTTACAATGAATATTCAATATACTATACTTTTTTAAAAACGTTTTCCATCCCTGGTATAAACACGGTGATGTCGAGCAATTATCACGAAAAATTAATAAATTAATGTTTTTTTTCTATCCCTTTTTACATTTAAACAGCATCGCAACTGCGCACTTATAATGTAGTGCATGATATTTTGGGGGTACAAAGACGAAGGATTCAGATTGATACGTCATTGTCAAAACACACAATCGTGCGGTAAACTCGTTTTCCCATTTCCGAAGACATTGGTCAAATGTAGAGTGCCGGCATTAACACTATACACTTAATCGATCGTATAATGTCAAAAAAATTGTCGTTGATATAACATATGAGTCTAAGAAATCTACTATGAAATAATATCGTTGATCATTACAACTAAAAAAAAAAAAAAAAGAAAATTCGTACTATACATAATAATGAGTTTCGGTTGTTAATGACTTTTGCGTCTTTTTATTTTTTGAAACATCCAGATGCTTTTCTAGATTAAAATGTGTTTCGATAACATGTGAATCTATACAGGTAATTTTTTTTTTTCGTTTATAAGTTATTTTTTCTCATTTTTCTAGAAAAATCACGAGTTCATTATCATATTACTGTTATAAAAAATAATTACTACTATATTTTTTAAATATTTTCTAGATTGCAACCAATTTTTAAATTTTAACTTAAATAAAAATACCAATATATATATATTGTAACTATTTACTTAAAGCCCAATAACGTAAGTAATAAAAATTTTACGAACTTTTAAAAAGTATTTAGTTCGTTAACAAATTAAAACTCTGGATATTATTTTTTTTTTTTACTCTGAAGATATTTTCATATATTTTTTAGAACATCTAAATCCGGGCCCTAATAATACTACAAAGTGAACGAACGAGATTCGTTCAGAGAATATTATTAATGTATATTATTAACGAGTCGTCGTCACATACAATTATGAAATATTATGTTCAAGTAAATGGAACAGAATCAAAAAAATTTATATATTTAAATATCTTTTGACGTTTCAACTTCATTACGCGTAAATAAATATATAATAATTACATTTAATATTTAACTAACAAGTTGACACATACTCTCCTAAAGCAAAGTTTATGGTGATTGTAAGCGAGTACAAACACTAATTGTTTATTACATTTATGCATTACTATTTTCGTACATAGCTATAAATAATGAAATATGCTAATTTTCATGCGATTATTATTACAACAATGACGGACTTAATAATGTCAACAATAATAATAACGAGACACCGATCGATTGACAGTAACAATAAAAATCTATGGTCTCGCAGCAAATACAGCGTGTGAAGATTATCGTACGAACAATCGGAGAGAAAAGAAAAAAAAAGATACGTTTCAATCGCATAATAATCCGTTCTTTGTTGCACTAGTGTTGTAGTAACAGCACCGGAACAAGTGATTTCGTACCGCGTTTTGCGGCGACCGGATGCGATGCACGAGAAGACGTCAATGGCAGATACACCGGTACATATTGACGCCAGAAAAAGTTTTGTCCGCAAAGTTATGCACTTGACACACAGTACATTTAGATGCACGCGCTGAGTTTGGTCTGAAACGACGGTGGTTGCATTGAAATCCACCCGTTTAAGACGGAACGTTATATTTTAATTTTTCTGTCGTAAATCACCCTCGTAGCGTAATGATGTCCTCGCCGTGTCCGCGATTCCCGTCGGAAACGCCCATTCGAACCCATCGATATTTTACCGCATTTCGTTCTTTTTCGATTTATTACAATTATTTGTTATTATTATTATTATTATTATTATTATACAACAACAGGTTTAACGTATATCCAAGATCGTCACAACACTATAGGTAAAACTGTAAATCTCTATCTCGGACACAGGCTTAATACCGACTGGAAAACAATGATACCGTAGTAGATATAATAATACACGTAAACAGTGCACACGCGATACGCCCTCAGACACCGTCATCGCTTGTCTCTGTTGAAATTGATGCTATTCCGTTACACGATATCTTAGTCGAACCATGGATTACGTAAAATATGTTAATAATAATAATAATGTAATCTTTGTTTCTTGATGCACGACGACCGAACGGTATTTCGTAAAGTCAATATCGTCCGTCGTAAGTCGATCAATCCCTACCCCCCGTCTCTTAAAAAGACCATGGTGCAGAGATTTATTAAATCCCCAACCATAATACTGTATGAGTGTTCTACCACAGGACAGCCTCCCTCCTCGTACACTAATATATATGTATTATTAATATATTTCCACAACATTCTGTTTACTTATTACATATGTTAAAAATTTGTAAATTTTCTATTATTTATAAAAAAAAAAAAATTTTAAATTTTTCGGACGATCATTATTTTTTCTATACGCATCATTAACGTGCACTAAAACATACGATGCTTGTCGCACGTTTAACGATAAATTTTATTCCGCATTACCTGCGATGCTGCATGTTCATGGTTTAAACGAAAGCCGTGAATGTTATTCATTATTTTCCTTTTCCTATCGTTTCATTCTTGTAATTTCTGCTTAAGTTATACCGGTCCATCATTTCAAACTGTTTACGTGACGTTAAGCGTTACTGGTCATTCATTCTTCGACACGTGGTACTGATGTAATAATATTTGTTTTTTAATTGTTTCAGGCATATTTTAGTTTGAACACGAGCATACTGGGAACGTTTTTACACATCGAAAGACCGTACTGGACTGGCAATGGAACGGCACCGCAGAGTAAAAGTTTTCTAGAACCGGAAAAAATATCAGAAAGTGAGCAATACTGCATTTTATTTTAATATATAATTTAATATTTAATGTAACAATTTATTATGAGAATTTAAAATGTTATTATTACATTTACATTCGTCAAACCTGAAAACAATGAACGCATTACAGGGTTCTGGAATTCAAGCCCCCAGAGAAAATTCTCGTAGCAAAATAGCTCTTTTATAATAAAAATAAAACAATCTTAAAAAAAGCTTCTGGCTATGGTATCTCAAGAGATTTGAATGAAGTTCTGAGCCCATTGTCTACTAGTTCAAAGAGTACATAGAATCTTCCCCCTTACAGTAATCAAATTTCCTGAAGCTCATTGTCATCTTCTATTTGGAACTTAAAACGAACTTTGATATCAAAATACTAAGAAAAAAGCTCTCGGATTTAATAAGGTTCAAATTGTATGCATTGGTAAATGTATTTTTTCGGACAGTGAGCTTATTCATCCATTTATAATTTTTAAGCACACAACATAATTTAATTATATAACTGGGAAGGATAGTGTGGCGCCGTGATAATTTTCAGTAGTTGTCCCATGCTACTGAAAAAATATACTCGGCACTAAAAGTCCTCGGATGAGTAACCAATTGGGGATTTATCAATGAATATCTTGTATTACACGTTTTTGAACCGAAAAATACACACTCATGTGGTCAAGGCTATAGGATAATATATATAAAAAATCACAAAGCAATTTTGGAAATACAAATTGATTATCTTCTTACAATCGGAAATATTAAATGATAATTTCGCGTTAAATAATATATTCATAACGATTTTTAGTTTAAGCTGTTTAAGACTATTTTAGTATAATGTATTGTAAAAATATGCAAATTATGATTAATCATCGCATATTGGATATACGTACAATGATATAAAATATATTTCTACTTTACTTTATTCTAGAACAATTTTTTTTTTATTTGTTAATATAGTTGAAATGTTAATATTACGTACGTACTATTATATATTCCTGAGGATATTTCGATAAAATATTTTTTCCGAAAAGTACAAGAGGTTTCTAAACGTATACAGCGTTTATTTTATCTTATTTACCCGTGGAAAGTTCTTTTTTTTTCTTACATATCTGTATCTAAAACGTGCAAAGAACCAAATTAACGTTTATAAATATTAATAACGATATTTGAAAAATTATAATTTTATAACTTTGGTTTAATATAAAATACAAGACTATAGCTAATTTTATCAAAATAAATATAAATACATAATTATTGAAATATAAAGTTACTTTCGTAGCAAGAAACAATAATGAAAAAAATAAAAAAATTTAAAATACATCTAAGAATTTCCAAGAATTTGACTTTACGAAAATAACAAAAAAATCAGTCAGTTTTACTACCAAATCTTTCATTGTAAAACAAAAAAAAATAATATTATTATAAAATAAATACATTTTTAATTTTTCCGAAAATCTACAATAATCGATCATTTTAACAACGATATTTTCAGATAAAATAGGTACCTTTAATTCTCTATTATATAAATATTATTTTGATTTCTTTAACCACGATTTTACTTTTATCTTCGCGGTTGATGAAAATAAACTGTTTTCCCTATTAAAAACACGGAATAAGGAGAAACGCAATGTAATTTTAACCGATTTATTTCGTAAAAATCACTTTGGACAATGGATCGCCCATCCGGTGTTTCGAAATCCAGTAGAAATAAACACGTCGTGAACAAATACAACGTGAGTTCTTCTAAAATATGCCAAAACGTTTTCGCATCAGAACGTGCAGATCATATGCGTTTTCGGCGTAACCTTATTGGAAACACATCGTCGACTCGTCCGGGACATTAGCGCAGCGGTTTTGGTCGGTGAAATATCTAACAACGTAGGACGTCTAACCGCGATGTACGTCGTAGACTCTTAGAGAGCTCAATGCAACAAATTGCACTACGATTCGGACAATATTCGCACGCACAGGCGGTTTGACATTTTTCAGTTGGTGGTTCAAGCATAGTTAATACTACCCACCCACCCACCTACCAAAAAGACATATTGGATATAAAAATGTACCTAATTTCTAATAAATTACCAATTTTATACTACCTACCGCTGCCAGTCACCAAAAACTATGTTCCCACCTATTAAAATGATACCCACCCCAAGCTTTTTGGTGGTTCAGTGGACCACAAAATTGATGATCAAGCCGCCTCTGTTCGTATGTCTTCCGAACACCACCGTGCACCGGCCGACGGACAGCCAACGATCCGTTACTTACTCCCTTATTAGGGTGTACACAATAATAAGATGCGATTTAATTTGTTTTTCAGCGACCGTCGTCTTTCACATGGTGGTGCTGGTGTGCGCAGGATGCGGTATGCTGACCAGCATCGTTTTGCTGATAGGCATTTATTTTGTGAGTACCCGATTGTGCATTGCAATATTAATGTAACGTAGACATAAAACTAAGATTTGCAACGACTGGAGAAGAATTTTTTTTCGGAAGCCGAGGGTTATCGTGGCCCGTGGAGCTTAGAGCTTAAGAGTAGTCGTAGTAGTAGGCGTAAAAACGTTCAAACCGTTAGCGCCCGCGCGAGCGGACGCGACCACTGGACGTCGCTTCATTCGTTCGCGTTCAACTTAATAGAAACAGGTTTCCAACAACAGAAGACTCTGTTACTAGTACTGGTTGCTGTTCAGCCATCGTTGAAAAACCGTTTCGATCACGTTGAACGCAAACGGTTGCAACGACGTCAAGCGCTACCGATACCAAAAACTACGTCCTCCGGACGCGTTTCAATCTGACGATAGGCAAACGTTCAGTCGTCTACGATAGAACTTATCGTTGTGCCGTCGGTGGATCTGGCCTGGGAGTCAATAATATTTCTGTTTCGATTGTTCTGGTTATCAATCGCCGACCCTGTGGAAACGGCACAGTCCCTGGATTTCGGACAAGTGTACGTGCATAATTTATACCACCCGCAGTAACGTAAAACGTGTTATCGCGAACGCGCATTTCCCTACGATGATGAAACGCGTCCATTTATCGCGTACGGTTCATCAATATGTATTCGACGGAGCATTTGTTACGCTGCCCTTTCGGCCGCGTAACAATAGTAAAGCAAACGGCACGGAAGGGGAGAAACCTATCGGTTAGGTTATCGGTATGAGGAACTCCATGGGTCCGAGCGTTTGCCCTTTTTGGTATGCCGAACCCATTATTTGTGGATATTTTAGAAGCAACGATAAATCATCGCATTTGAAAAACTCTACATGGCCGACATTATACACGTATGCGTATCTCTCGACTAGTATAATATTTCTGTGATGCAAATGCTTCATAATATAAAAGAATAATTGTCAGATAACACTTTTTAGACTGGCAGTTTCTGCAACGCAAACGAACGTCGCAGTTGATTGATGAAAACAATAGAATTCACGCAATTTCAATATTTCGAATCCTTAAAAGAAAATGAACGAAGCCGAATTGTCCAATTTTATAATTTCTAGTTTTCATTTTACATAAGACATTCAAGTTGTACTATAAAAATATACTTATTGCGATAAAATAACAATTTATGAGTAATACGCAAAGTATACCGTTGATTCGGCGTCCCCCACTTCTCACCAGTTATTACGTGATTACTGTGATAATCAAAACCGTTTGTACGTGCAGGTGCGTATGCTCCACTTCGCACTGTACAACGTATTCAAATTCTAATAAAACAATTTTGCCGTGGATAGATGTACATCATCGGTAACCTGCGGTTATTCGATTAGTTCCTGCATTACGATACACACGTGTATTTATAATAATATGACGTACGAGTATGTCGCCGTGGGTTGAGTACAGAAGAGCGTATGTCCTATTCGGTGAATAATTAATATAACAAGCCAGCGGCGTGAAATGTGATGGGCTTACACTTACCCAACAGGTTTATGTATTTGTATATATATATACTGCAGGTGTATGCGTGTGTGTGTATGTGTGTGTGTGTGTGTGTGTGAAATTAATATTTCATTCACAGAAGATTTTGATTAGAAAATGCCTTTCGATTTGCATTACTAATGTCCGAGGGTAATGTACATTATCAAACGCATATCAGTACGCTAATGCACACACGTACCTATAGATTCCTATACGGTTGATGTGATGTCATTACACCGATTCAAATGATTTGATATACCCACCCGCGACGTTAAATATTACGGAATTTCGCACGCGACCGTTACAATAATAATTAATATCATATTAACACCTGTTTATATTATTAAAACAGACTGTATATTTTTTATGTACGTAAAACCAAAATTACATATGTATATATATATATATATATTCAAAGTATTCCTATTGTGCCGACGGTACAGCGATTTTGTGATTGATAATATTTTTCGAAAGCCGAATCACATTTTCAGTAGCATTAATGCACGAATCAAATAAAAATAATAAAAAATAATAACTTTACAAAATCATTAGTTTTGGTTTTAATTAATTTACAGAGTGAAACGTATACAAAAAATAATTTTTTTCCACCTACTTGATTGAATATCATAACCCTGACAGTTGAATTTCAATATTCGTATTTACTCATATAGATTTAAATATGTTCGAAAATATATATTCACTGTAAACGTATAGCAATTCATTTTTGGAAGTCTTCTTCATTTTGACGTGACGCAAATATATATTAATAGTTTTTTACAATCAATATACGTCTGATGGAACTGTTAAAAAAAATGCACTAAAAAAACAGGTATTTGATTATTTTTTGTTAACAATGCACGCTTAAAATATATGTGTGACCTTATTTACGTTTCGACTAGAAAATGAAAATTATAGTAATGACCATTTCGATATTAACATGAAAAATTAATACTTTTTTTATATATTTTAATTGTCACAATCTGTAATTGTATGTACAATAAGTGAAATTAAAAAAATAGATAAATGGTAGTAGTATGATACATTTAGGTGATAGAATTATGTATTGGTAATATCTCGCAGCTTAAACTTATAAGTTCATTTTAATGATAATACTTAAAATACAATAAAGTAAAATAATTAAAATATCAAAAAATGCAATAGAGTTAGTAGTGGTTAGATTGTTTCGAGATCTCTAAACCTATATCACTTCAGTTGCCTGGGGGGTTACCAAGTATATTATCCGATACTTTCTGGCTAAGAGATTTGGATGGTCGAGGAATTTTTTTATTTTAATGTAAAAATTTGTTAGTATTATATTTTATGTTTTAAATTTTATTAATCACATACTAATGGGTAAATAATTTTATTTTGAATTATTGAGTACGAGTTAAATTTTGACAATATTAAAATTGGAAACTTTGAACATTATTGAAACTTATTGTACTGCCCCAAGTTAAATTATGTTGTGATTTTAATAGTTAAATATTTAATTTCACACTTTTTTCAAAATGTTCGTACTTTACACAGCTTTATTTGAAACATTATTATAATGAACCTTCTTTTATATTTTATTTTTTATATAAAAAAAAAAAGAAAAAACAATGACATTATATATGTAGTGAAATAATGGCCTATTATACTTTTGAAAATAAATCTATTATACTACTTCAATTTAAACATTTAGGTACAAAAAAAAAAAAAAAAGTACAATATTTTATAAAAGCCTTAATTTAAAATTCGTCGCAAGAAGATATCTATTAAACACAATATTAAGGATGAAAAAAACCTAAAAACTTTACAAAATATAAATGAAATAATATTTCAACGAGTCAAAACCTATAACTACAAATATTTTGAGCAAAAAAAAAAAAAATATAATGTAAACTTATCGAAGTGTACATCATAATTTAATAGTACATATATCAAAAGTTGATATAATATTTAAAAACTTTCCACTGTAACGGAACATCAATTAAAATCATCACAGGATTTCATTATTGAATTCTGTGATGAATTATTTAACAACAGTATTTAATGAACATTAATATATTTCATAAATTAACTTATGGTTATAAATGATAACCAAATATGATATTATTAATTAGAAGAAAAAAATATATGGTTTTTTTTCTTTTATCATGTTTTTGTACATTAAAATACTTTTGGGTACTTGTTTCATTTCTATGGAATAAATTAAATATACACTGAAAACGCCAAATCAAACTCAAACCAGAAGACTTATGGTGTGTGCATGTTTACTTTTGTAAGGGTGGAAAATACCCATATTTTAATACGACCTTACCTCATCGCACGTGTTATTCTTCGTTCCAAACAAATAATACGTATATTCCAACTTACCGTAAAACATAAAATCAACACACAGACCATCGATTCCCATCATTATTATGACGTTATAGTTATAGTTACTAACAAAGGAAAGTTAAATTTTATTTAATAATTTTTACTGAGATACAAAAATAACTACAGTAAACGGGTCATCTCGAAATAAAAAAAATTACCGTTAACGACAATCTGAAAATCGAGTTCATTTGACATAAAGCAATCGAGATGGTGGCCGACATAATCTGCATTAATTGCCTCGTACGAAACCTTCAACCGGCCCATAATAAATACTGAAATTTATCAAAATATACATAAGCTTTTTTTTGTTTCTTTTAACCACCAACCGATTATCAGGTGAAGATGAAAAACGAGAAAAAAACTTCATGTATTACACGTGGTTGATACTGGACGATGAAAAATATCGTAATTATCTAGCATGTATCTGAAGATTTGACCAAGAATAGGATCTGTAAAGGTGTAATCCGCAAACATAACACGCAACCGAAACATACGTTCGTGCATACTAACCCTGCACACAAATGCAAATGAAAATATCGAATAAATCAAATTTGACTAATTATGCTAAAAACAAACTAATATTATGGTGGTAGTACCTAATTATTATGGAAACACTCCGAGACCGACTAGCAAATAAGCAAACAAATATGAAAATAATTACAACCATTTTGATCGAACGACAACGATAGTAATTTGTTTAATTTAATAATAAATATACGAATGTATGCTTATATATATATGTATACATTTTTTGCTTTGTACGTTGTAATGTGTACAAAATGTATCCGTTTATTAAAAACATAAACTACACGAAACATTTGAAACAATAATCCTTTAACTGAAAAAACAAGGCAATTCAATAGAGAAACAAGAATATTTTACCTACGTTTATTCTAATATATTCTTTTTGTCGTTCACTATCAGTATTCAGAACGTCGAAAAACGTATTCTGAAAAACGTATAGGTACTTCCAAATAATGTTTAAATAGATTATCTTGTTTCCAAACGGCGTCCGCGCACAAATAATAATTCATTAAACTTAAGGAAATTAAACCGACCAAGACTCGGTTTCGAACACGGGACTTATCGGGACACTCGGATTCATACAGTTCATATATATATGAACT